AGTAAAGTTGCTCAAGCTCTTTCTTTTGGACGGATTAACGGTAGCCCGAGCGCATCTCACGCAGTGAATTTCAGCCACTAGAACACTGGGTGAAAAAGGGGGTCGTATTTGCCTCGATAGAAGGCGCAGTGGATCGCAAGCACTAGGGGTTACTGTAATTAGGGGTCAGCTACAGAAAGGTTCGTGCAGCTGTTCCTCGCTCATTGTCATCACAGAAATACGCCCAGCACAAAAAAGAACCAGGATGACCTGGTCGGGGACATTCTCCCTGAGTCATCCCAAATATCCATTTATATTCATATATTTATTCACCATTTGACATGACCAAGTCGTTTTGATCGATCGATAAAAGGAAGGAAAAAACTAGGAAGAAAAGTAGGAAGACTAGACGTCATGAATGTCGTACGTGGAAGTGCGATTCACTGACTAGAATAGTTGAGACAAAGCAGCACTACTTGCCAAGATTCCTAGAGAGAACAAATGTGTTTGCATTTGGGATTACTGTAATTAGTTTGATCTCAGAACCTGTGCTACATATAAGTAATTTTCACATGTTTCGGAGGCTGAAAGAACAAATCGTCTGGTTCCTTCCAAAAAACACACCAGTCAAGGTCAAGCCTTTTAAAAACTGAAAACCGAGCAGCTCGTTAAATCGGCTAAGCGCCGTTGTTGATGGTCAGCGTGCGTTGTCATGGCAAGCGCAGTCGCTCAAGGCCTACCCTAGCGTTCCCTTTGCTCGATCACCGTGCCCATAAAAAGATGGTGAGCTTCAAGTAGCTTTATATTTACTTTTCTTCAAATGTTATCTTCATAAACACATAGTGTTTTAAAGAGTATTTTGCGTGGTTGAAAACCTAAAAGCACATACGGAGATTATCCCAAATCTCTGGGAATCCGCTCCGCTTAGGATCATCCTTCATCGGACGGTAGATTAGCCACAGCTGAACAACAATAGCCAGCAGCAATCCATTGGATCTGTTTGATAATTAGAAAGGAGGAGACAACTCTCTTGTCCTCCTGTGTGAAATGCTAACTTTTCAAAGTATATGTTTTTTCATAAAGTAAATATTCTGTTGATCACTTAACACAATCTCTCTGGAGACAAGGGGAATAGGAAATGCAAAGTGTTGCTGTTATCATTTGCCCAAAAAATGTCGAATATATCCAACTCTTTCTTTTCGATGAACATTTGTTGCTATAAACGTATTATAATTAATCAACGTAGATGCTTGTTCACAGAACTAATAGAAGCCCAAAGCCAACTTCCCGTGAAAGCTCTAGAATCTTTCTGCTTCAATACTTTATTGTTAATCCTATGACTTGAATCCCATCGATTCTTGATAGATCTGAGTGCATACAATACCGCTCACAGAATGTGAAAAAATGACGGTGATTGACCGTCGCACCTATCAAAGACCGTCGCACTACCATAACTCCGCTGAAAGCGAATGAAACGGAAAAATTTAAACTCCTATAGATACGTCTCCTCACAACGAGTTCCAGGATGTGTTATGGGTCGGGATCGGTTAAGTAGGTCACCAGCTTTACCTTTTAAGCTGGGGCAAAATCCAATTCTGACCTCAAGGTAGAACACCATTCGTTAGATCCCATGTTTATGTGCACAGTAGTCTACCGCTCGCACACTCCTCCTTTTTTGATGCATTTTTATCCATGTTTCACAGTCGTTCCCGATGCGAACGAGCTTCAATTTCTTTTCTTTCCGAAATTGCGCTTAAGCGAAATGTATGATCGAATGGTTATTCCAAGAATATGACATATTGTGCCGTATAATGGCAATAATGGCTTATGAACAAACGTTAAGGTAAACTAGATAAGAGACAATACCTCACCCTTTGAAAAAAATTTACGGACAGAGAATACAGAACTAGTGTTGAAATTCATACAGTTGTACTCGGCGCGATGAATGCTATCCGATGATATATAAGTTATACCCAAAGACTACTTTGTTTTTACTCGTTTTTTTCCTTCGTGATCGCTAGCCAATGACCAATCGCTAGCTGACCTCGTAATTACCCTACGCTGCGAGGGTCAATGCCTCGCGGTGTTATCACTCCTCTTCGAGGCATGTTCGGCTTCCGAATACCGCTAAGCGTCGTTTTTCTGAAGCCCCTTCAGATTCCCGTAGTTGGAAAGGAGTGAGAAGCGATCCACTCTAGCTTAGGCCGTGGAACGCCAGCGAATCCTCCTGTGGCACAGCAATGCAAGTACTGTATGGCGCTTTGTGCTATTTTTTATTTTTATTTTTTTTTTTTTTCTTTTATACGAATTTATATAATTATATTTTCAAAATTATGCCGGATTGGGGCACGACTGGGAGCCCATTTCACACCTCACTTATTTGCATTCGTTCTTATAAGGATTGGTGTCGTATTATTTTTTTTGATTTCCTCTTTTTTGCTAGTACCTTGATTTCATGGGGTTCCCCGTTGGCCAGTCGTTGTATTCAGTTCCCTCAATTTATCTCATTTTGTCAACTTGATATGTACACGATAAAATATAAAGAATGACGAATTCGGGTTTGATCATCTCTTTTTTACTTATCAATCTTTTCCAAATTCTTTTTTGCTGGTCATTGGAAAATGTTACGAATGGGAACTGTTGCCTAGTCTAGTCCATGAAAAGGGTCAGTGATAGGTCCACGTCGTTCAGCGGATAAATATTTCAAGCCTAGTTAGCATGGTTCTATATCTCAACCAGGGTCAACCGTCCGTTCGAACTGTTCGAACGAAGGGGTCGCATTTTGGTCGGAAGGGGGTCGCAATTTCGAGGACTGCCAGCCACAGGCGCGTGCGTGGCGTATCCGAGGGCAAGACTTGCTTGTGCAGACCGCATTAGATTCGATTAATTATGCACAGAGAGACAGTTTTAGGCAAATTAGTTTTAGTGTCAACAGATAAAAGTGAATCAGTGATACTGAGATCGCAAACTTATGAATTTCATAAAACAGCAGAATTCACGACATTTACAGTACCTGCGGGTTTGCAAGGGACGTCTATAAGTTGGTGCCTTGCGCTATAGTAACTCAAAAGATAATGAGTACAGTAGGTAACCTCGTAGGATGGAGCAATCGTGTCATAATTTTGAAAACCCAAAGCGCCATTCCAGTAACGTTGCATTGCTGTGCCACAGGAGGATTCGCTGGCGTTCCACGGCCTAAGCTAGAGTGGATCGCTTCTCACTCCTTCCAACTACGGGAATCTGAAGGGGCTTCAGAAAAACGACGCTTAGCGGTATTCGGAAGCCGAACATGCCTCGAAGAGGAGTGATAACACCGCGAGGCATTGACCCTCGCAGCGTAGGGTAATTACGAGGTCAGCTAGCGATTGGTCATTGGCTAGCGATCACGAAGGAAAAAAACGAGTAAAAACAAAGTAGTCTTTGGGTAATAACTTATATATCATCGGATAGCATTCATCGCGCCGAGTACAACTGTATGAATTTTCAACACTAGTTCTTTATTCTCTGTCCGTAAATTTTTTTCAAAGGGTGAGGTATTGTCTCTTATCTAGTTTACCTTAACGTTTGTTCATAAGCCATTATTGCCATTATACGGCACAATATGTCATATTCTTGGAATAACCATTCGAATCGTTGGTCATACATTTCGCTTAAGCGCAATTTCGGAAAGAAAAGAAAAGTGATTGTGCTCGAAGAATTTGACGTATACCGATATTCAGAGCTAAATTATGTAAGAACCGCTTTGCTGCATTCCAATAAACAACAAAGTTGTTGCGCAGTTACATACCTAGTTCAAGATCTTGTAGCCGTTTCGTCGTATTTCCTCCAGACTTTGATGAAATACGCTTTCAAAATTTGGAAATGTCGTAAAATTGAAGAGCTCGTTCGCATCGGGAACGACTGTGAAACATGGATAAAAATGCATCAAAAAAGGAGGAGTGTGCGAGCGGTAGACTACTGTGCACATAAACATGGGATCTAACGAATGGTGTTCTACCTTGAGGTCAGAATTGGATTTTGCCCCAGCTTAAAAGGTAAAGCTGGTGACCTACTTAACCGATCCCGACCCATAACACATCCTGGAACTCGTTGTGAGGAGACGTATCTATAGGAGTTTAAATTTTTCCGTTTCATTCGCTTTCAGCGGAGTTATGGTAGTGCGACGGTCTTTGATAGGTGCGACGGTCAATCACCGTCATTTTTCACATTCTGTGAGCGTATGTACGAGAAAGCAACCCAATTACAAATTAAGTTAAGGATGGTGAGTTGTTAAAAGAAATAGGCAAAAGTAGATGGGGGTTATCGAGGGTCCTGATCACGAATATGAGGTCCATTTTGGCGCTGGCGCTATTTGGCGCCTAGACAGCGCCACTACTGAATCTCACCAAATTCGCTGTAAACTTGTATATAGGGGTTATTTGGGGTCCTGATTACGATGACATTCGTTTTGTTGTTAGCGCTATTCGGCGCCTATTTCCTGCTCGTCTGCGCCCTCGCACTAATTAGATCGCAATCAGGACTAAGCCTTTGGTAGTGGAGGGCTCCAAAGTGAGTAGGCCACTCCCTGTGGTCTCACACACTTCAACTTTTGCCACACGGTGCTTGGTTTACCCACTACACCGTTTCACTCCCCTTCCCTAGGCTTAGTCGTAGGCGCGTAAGTGAGAGAGCTTCATAAAAGCAGAAATTTGTGCTAAAACAGCACAAGCGACAAAAAAATGTCATATTCGTAATCAGGGACTCAAATTACCACTAGATACAAGTTTACATTGAATTTTGTGAGATTGAGTCAAGGCGCCAGCGCCAAAAATAGATCTCATATTCGTGATCAGGACCCTCGATAACCTTGAGGAAGTTTCAGCGAAAAATTCTTTTGACCCATTTCACCCCTACTGGGGTTGTAATAGCGCAATAGTGCCAAATCTTGTTTTCTTGCTTATGTTTCTACTGTCTGATCAAGGTTGATTTTAGTACGTAAACTACGGATCTATGTGCTCGTTGTCGGCGGGCTGTCTTTCGTTATGTCTTTCATCGCTCTTTCGCAGATGGCTACTGGTAAAGCCGAAGCAGAAGGAATACAAACCGAACACTTGACAAGGTGATTGTGTGTTTTCTCTCCACGTGTTATTTTACCCTCTTTCTTTCTATTCTTCATGAATTCCAGTTCTTTGGACATTGGTCGACCCTAGCATATTTTAGGCAAGGTATTGATATGGGTTCATTCCTAGCAAAGTATTTAAGAGCCGGAGAGGTGAGCACCAAGTTTTGATGTTTAGTTACTCATTGAGGATAATGAACATACTGAAACAGCAACATAAATTCAGTTTTATATAGTCACCGAAATTTGCAGGTGAGAAGGATAATATTTTGCCCTGATTACTCTCGGGCTGTAGCTTTTCTACATACTGGAGCTGTCATTGACGGCAAAAAGGTATGTAATTGTATTTCATGTATGGCTTCTATTCTTTTACTTTTATATTCGCACATATTCTGGTTATCACCTGAATTATTTGAAAATTGAACGAAATGGTCTTCACGTCTGTCTTTCTAGAAAAATGAGCCCTTACTCTGACGCATTTCTTATCAGATTTTGAGCAAAAGTGAAATGTAAGGAGTAGCTTGTTCTGCAAGTAACAGGCTTGTGACTTTTTTCACATTCAAAGGTGTGTGGCTACGGTCGATACGAAGCATGTCGAGGAACAGAGTCGTGCTGATGAGACTCTCACAGAGCATAGTGTGTTAAGCGATCACGGCTCTATGCTCTCATATGCGGACGCGCCTGTAGGTAAAAAAGTCAGCCGATGTGTTATACTGAGAAGCAGGCCGAGCGCCTTTTACTTCCAGAAATCGAAGAGAAAGAAGTGTTGCGTTTATTCAGTCGGAACATTATGTTGCTATCACATTAGCACTTGTATGCAACGTGAATGCACTGAGCAGCTTTCTGGAGAACATCTTGAACTCAATTGTCGAGCATTTTCGTGTGGGTGAAATGGATTTATTATGAGATTTAGTGATATGGATAGTTTCCTGTTTTTTTTTATCATTTGGCTCTTGTACTTGTTTGGTTATACGAAGTTATACGAAATGAATTAACAGAAATGGCTCACCACAATTAGATATTCCTCTAAAGGGCAGGTAAAAATTAGTTGCAGGTTCACGAACCGGTTGTGGTAGTTGCTTACCCACACAGCGCCCAACAATTTTGGACCGATGTACGAAAGAAGAAGAAGATATGGGAATTCGATATCAGAGGCGCGTGCCACTTGGATATGTATAAAGCATTGACATACGTTCAGGTAACAAACACGTTTATGAATTAGAGTTTTACCTACTATTGCCTGACTGAGTTTTGTGGTGACACAGGCTGTTCTTTTTTCTATATTTTAGGCATCTGGGTATGAACAGATGTTTCTCAATATTTAGGTGCAACTCAGTTACTGCGCAAAGGAAAAAATCTGCAGATAAGTGTTATGAGTTGAAGTGTGCACCATGAAAACAGTGGTGAACGTGTTATGGGTTCCGGAAAATTGGCCCAATGAAGACGAGTGGGCTTTATATGCAGCAAAGGCGTAGTGTGAACTGCGAGGGGGTCTTTATTGATGTATAGGCGGGGAATGGGGCGGGACTAGGGAAGGTTACAGTGCATGCTCCTACTAAGCTCATTCAAGTAAGGCCTAGAAATATCATCTTGCTTCCCAAAACGAATGTCACTTGCCGGAAAGGCACTTCGCGGAATCTCATGTTGCTGTTTTTGGTAATCGGTGCTACCTTAATGGTCAGATTCGCGAGGGGAAGTATCGACCGTTTCAAACGGATGAAGCAGAGACACGATAACAATTTATTTTATAACGACGATACAATAATCGACGCGGTTGCAAGCGAAATAACGAAATACAGGAGGTATAAGCCTCCTAGCGAAGAAAACAATTAGAAAATAAAAGGTCCAGTATAGAGGGGAATGGAGGGGTCCGGGCGGAGACGTTCCCTTCTGCAATTTCTTGACGTCCTTAAATAGCATCCTGGTTCCCGCTCAGATCACTCCGGCGCTTGGTAGGTCGATGCAGCGATCTGGGTTCTACCCACATGCCTCCCCTCTCCGAAGCTGCTGTCCTCAGCAGCTGGGGCTCCATCCTCTTGAGTTCCGGTAATGGTATCAAATCAGCCGTTTTTCTTTTAATCGCTTCATATAAAATCTTTGCACAGGCCACTGTGCAATCGGTTCCGTGATATGACAATGATGCTTCTGGTGCTCCCAGCTCGCAAAATACTTTGCCATCCTCGATTTTCGAGTTCGCCGTTCTGAAAAACTGTCCAGAGCCCGCTCTTTTTTCCAGAGTTGCATCCAGTAGTTTCCAGACATCTGCCAGCTTTTTCCACGTATCGTAATTCTTTGCAACGACTGGAGGCCAAGCCGAAACTATGCGGCCACCGCTCTCAAAATGCCTTTCGCATGCCTTAACGACTTCTGTAATTTCATCCTCTTTGAATTTTTGCTCTAAAGGCCAAACGATTACCCATATCGCGTGTGCTGACCACTCATTGGTTGAGAATCTCCCTGAGCTGTATAAAAGTTGCGGCTACCCTGGTCGAGATTCCTCGCTTGGGACCATCTCTTTCTAACAAAGTTGCAGCTGGTGGTGCCGCAAAAGCAGTAGATCCGTCCTTGATGGGCCTTTTCGCCCTCTCCTCCTCTTCAATTTCTTTCTTCACTTTTTTTAATGCGGCATCGTAAGTCTTCTCGAAACCGTAATCTTCGATTTTTTCATGCCGTTTTATACCTTCAGTGACGCAAACAAACTCGGTCCAGTCCATGCACTTGTCATAGGCTAGTCGAATTACTTTTTGTAGGGCTTCTTCATCTAAACAAACTGTTCCATCTTTCCAGAACTTTATTTTCGCTGCCATTTCGAGGTCCGTCCTTATAAAGATGCTTGCTATCCGCCATGCATTCCACAGCGTTCCCAGTGGCCTCTTTGACAACGCTCCTGGCAGCTGTATTCCTTTCAGTTCCTCCAATTTGACGTCCTTCAGACATCCTTCTTTGCAGACGAATTCCAGATGACCTTTTTCTCGGCTCGAACGTATCTCGGCACCTCTGAAACAAGAACTGGTTATTCTATTGACCTTAGCTTTCGGCTTCCTTCCTCTCCTGCCCCTATTTGTAATAGTATCTACGCGATCATCTGGAATATAGGGCGGTACCACTCTTAGCATATCGAACTGAACTCGTATCGGTTCTACATTTTCCCCGATTCTACTGATAACTGCCGAATTGTTGCTAGTCTCTATCACCCGAAACGGTCCTGCCCACTCACACGTAAGTTTGGGGTGGGAACTCATAGCCTTCTCTTTCGGGGACAACATATACACCCGATCTCCCACTTTTGGGTGTTTACTTTCATCGACCTTGTTTCGGTTATCGTATTCAATTTTCATTTTTCCTCGAACCCGTTCATTGTACTCTCTGACCCGTTCGTGGACCTCCGAAACCGCCTGCAACAACTGCGCTTTGTAATCTTCTTTACTTTCATCCAATGTGTACCATGACACCCCACCATTTGGTATCACTCCTGAAGGACAATTTGGGTCTATGCCATGCAGGACAAAATACGGGCTTTCCCCGGTAGACTGATGCGGTGTTACGTTGTACGCAAACATGCAAAAGGGTAATCTGACATCCCACTCCATAGGGATTACTGTGCTTCTCCGTAACATCGCTATGATCGTTCCATTCAGTCGCTCTGTAACACCATTCTCCCTAGGGTTGTACCCCTTCGTTGTCACCTGCTCAATCTTTGTTATTCTGGTCAGTTCTTCCATTACTCGATTTTCGAACTCTGCCCCTTTATCCGACATGATAACCTTCGGCCAACGGCACCCTTCGCAATCCAACGGGTGAAAATTGTCTTTGCTATCGTTTCCGCAGTCTTATCAGGTACTGGATAAGCTGCTGCAAATTTAGAGAAGTGGTCGATGACCGTAACTGCGTATCGATTGCCGCTTGTTGTCATACCCAGCTCTAGTACATCTACGCCCACGATCGGTGATGTTGGGCTGTTAGTGGCAATTGGTTATTACGCGGCGGTGTTATCCGCGGGCGTACGTTGTGCGCAAAACAACGCTGGCACTCTCTAGTCCATTTGTGAATATCGCGCACCATAGTGGGCCAGAATACCTCCTTTCTTAATCTGTTCAGTAACTTGTGGGCACTAAAATGTCCAGCGAAGGTTCCTGCATGCGCCTCATGGAAAATTTCATAACGAGAACTCTTCGGTACCACATACACTAAGCTTCCGTCAGCTTGATACATTTTTAAATCGCCGTCTTCCAGGACAAAATCAGCAATCTGCACCGGTTTTACAGCTCCGACCCAAATTACTCTTCCTGAGGTATCTCCACTCCTGAGCGCCTCTAAAACCTCTACGAAATTCGTCGTCTTTTTCGAGTTCCGCTAACCATTTACTTTTCTTGTCCACGAGAATACAATTCACCACCGCCTCATTCAATCCCTTCCATCGACTCAACGCATGTCCTTTGCGCGGCTCCCCTACTGAGCGCATCCGCCACAACATTCGTTTTCCCTTTTACGAACTTAATTTCCAAATTATAGCGTTGCAATTCTAGAGACCATCGTAAGACTCTCGCCGACACATTACTACGATTGAAGAGGGCTGTTAGCGGCTGATGGTCCGTTAGCACCACTGTCCTCAAGCCGTAAATGAACATATGAAACCGTCGTACAGCCATCACTACCGCTAATGCTTCTAAATCTGTGACATGATAACGACGTTCGGCTCTGCTAAGACTTTTAGAAGCGAAATACACGGGATGAAGTAGTTTATCATCCCCTTCCTGTGAAAGCACGGCTCCCAAACCTACTGTGGACGCATCCGTGCATATTCACAAACGGTCTCGATCCATCTCTTGCTTTCTCAATGTTAGGCTGGGTTAAGACCGGAGCAGAAGAAATCATCTTTTTCAAGTTCTCGAAAGCTGTCTGATGTTCATTATCCCAATTCCAAGATGATTTTGGGGAGGTCAACGAGAATAAACAACTTGAAACCTTTGCAAATCCGAGACAAAATTTTCTGTAAAATGAGGCCATACCAAGAAAAGTCCTCAAATCTTTCACGCTCTTGGGTGTCGAATAGTTCTGTATTGCCTCCACTTTCCCTGGATCCATGTGGATGCCCTTGCTGTCGACTACGTGCCCAAGAAAACGCACACTACTTTGCATCAGGACGCACTTTTGGGCCTTGAGCCGCAGACCTGCTTCCTGAAGCACCCTGCACACACTCTTTAGCAAGTCTACGTGCCTCTCTCGCGTTTCCGTGCAGACAATGATATCGTCGATATAGCAAAACACCTCTGAGCCTAACAGGTCGTGCAACACCGAATCCATCAACCTTTGGAACACGGGGGGGGCTGGTACTCAACCCAAAGGGAGTCACAGTGAATTGAAAGAGGCCTTCCGTTGTTGTGAAAGCCGACTTTTCTTCCGCTTCGTCCGTCAGAGGAATTTGCCAGTACCCACTGCACAGGTCGAGTGTCGAGAAGTACGACTTTCCTGATAAACTCTGGAGGACTGCGTCAATTCTCGGTAGGGGATACGAGTCCAATTTAATCCTCTTGTTCAACTCTCTATAGTCTACACATAGCCTTAAGCTACCATCTTTCTTTTCCACCAATACAATCGGAAAAGCCCACTCCGAACTGCTTTTCTCGATAATTTTCCTACTTTCCAGGTCAGCAAGTAGTTCTTTCAGTTTCTTTCGTACTCCCAAAGGAACTGGTCGCGCCTTCATTTTAATTGGCTTATGTTCTCCCCGTGT